GAAATTAACAGGTAAATGACCTTCTCTTATTGGTGCTCTTTGATTAATGAATTTGAACTTAAGGATGGTGCCCTCCTTGCAATTGGGATACTATGTGATAAACTGAAACTAACTGAGCCGTACAAGTCTGAGCTTGAGCGGATGCTTTTACAGCATGTTTTTCCAGAATTTAGCAGTCCTGTTGGTCATCTTCGAGCCAAGGTGTGTTTTTTTGGTTCTAGGTGTCTATTGCTCTGCAATTTGGATCCTTGTCAATTGAACCTGTCCATAAATCAATTTTTATTTGAATTCATTGATGGTTTTTATTGTGTTCTAGTTGGCAGGGATATATGGGTGAATCCATAAAATGCAATTTGTTTCATTTGATTTGGCAAATGGCAAGAACTATTGTCTTTGTTTTCTTTGCCTTTTCCCATTACATGGTCCATTGTTAGTATAGTATTTGAACTCTTTTGGGGGTATCAGCACAAGAAAACCCAAAATAACTAAAAGGTCTTTCTCAGTTCCACACAAGCAGTTTTCTGTACGCGCGCACACACTTACACACATGTATTTGGATTATTGGTGAAATTCTTTATATAGATGCTTATATGTATATGGTATGACATTTTCTGCTGGACTTCATTTGTCATGAATTTTAAATGTCTAATTATAAAGGAACTGAAATTGTTTTACCCTTATGGCTTCAAAGCAATGAAGCTGTTGGACTAGATCCTTGCTGTATTGATTGTAAATGTTTCTAATTTTTTTCTTAAACCTGTTATCATCTTCCTGATCTTTCTGTTTTTCTTCTTAATACTAGGCAGCGTGGGTTGCTGGACAATATGCTCATATTGAATTCTCAGATGCTAATACTGTTGTTAAAGCATTACATAGTGTTGTTGCTGGAATGCGTGATCCTGAACTTCCTGTACGGGTTGATTCTGTGTTTGCCTTGCGTTCCTTCCAGAGTTCTTCAAACTTATGAATGAAGTTGAGAATGAAGATCTTGTTTCGACCCTCGAGACGATTGTTGACAAGTTTGGCGAGGAGATGGCTCCTTATGCTCTTGGATTATGCCAGAATCTGGTGAGAGATAATTCATAGTGCAGTTTTATGCAATTCAGATCTGCCATTTGTACCCTAATATAGTTGCTGTTATAGGCTGCTGCATTTTGGAAATGTATAAACACCGCGGAAGCTGATGACCCTGGTGCCTTAGCTGCAGTTGGTTGTTTGCGTGCCATAAGCACAATCCTTGAGTCAGTGAGTCGGCTTCCACATCTTTTTGAACAGATTGAGCCAACACTTTTCCCTATCATGCGTAGGATGCTTACGTCTGATGGACAAGGTACAATTTGCTTCCTTGAGCATTTCCTCTCTCTTTTTTCTCTGTCAAAATGTTTGAGCATTTCCTCCCTCTTTGATTTGAATAATAAATTAAAGTCCTGATTTTAGTCAATCTATACTTCTGTAGATGTCTATGAAGAGGTTCTGGAGATTGTTTCGTATATGACATTTTACTCGCCAAAAATATCAATGAACATGTGGAGTCTCTGGCCATTAATGATGGAGGCCCTTGCAGACGGGGCTATTGATTATTTCCCAAGTAAGTTTGTTAAGAGCTCTGCTCTAATTATATTTTGATTAATTGTATTTTTTCTCCTGTTTTTATATTTGATGGTTTGTGGTAACTTTACTAATATTGTCCCAGAGAACTTCACCTCATGCATGCATTTAACATGTATTAAACACTTCATTTTATTTTGCAGACATATTGGTTCCATTGGACAACTATATGTCGAGGAGCACTGAACATTTCCTTACTTGCAAGGAACCAGACTACCAACAGAGCCTTTGGAACATGATCTCAACTGTAAGCTAATGCCTCTATTAGAAATGTACCCTTTCTTTAATCTGCTGACGATTGGCAAGTGAAGTGTATTTCTTTTATGGATTTATTTATTCTTTCTTTTCTTTGCAGATCATGGCTGACAAACACTTAGAAGATAGTGACATTGAGTCTGCCCCTAAGCTCATTGAAGTTCTATTCCAGAACTGCAAAGGACAGGTCGATCACTGGGTTGAGCCATATCTCAGAATCTCAATAGAACGTCTGCATCGAAGTGAAACACCATACTTGAAGTGCTTCCTGATCCAAGTGGTAAGATACTTAAATATTTCTCTGTTTATACCTATTCATTTGTTTCCCTTTCCCAGTCTATAAACATGGTTTGTGGCCTTCTTTTCCTGTGAAATAACTTCTAAGTTTGTTTCTTATTGACAGATTGCTGATGCTCTTTACTATAACCCTTCATTTACGCTGAGCATACTGCAAAAGCTTGGTTTTGCTACAGAGATCTTCAATCTCTGGTTCCATATGTTACAACAAACTAAAAAAAGTGGAGCTCGGGCTAATTTCAAAAGGTAGCAATATGTTGGTCTTGTAGTTCTTGTGGAGAGATGTAAAAGGCATAAGAAAAACAAAGTTAAAAAATTGATGGGTTTCTAATTCTTGCCATGTTGGTATTGCAGGGAGCATGAGAAGAAGGTTTGCTGCTTGGGCTTGACATCATTGCTCAGTCTTCCTGCTGATCAAATGCCAGCAGTAGCCTCAGAGGGCATTTTTAAGGCTATTCTTGATCTCCTTGTTGCATACAAGGATCAACTTGCTGGTAAGTAACCATGTTTTTCCTATACTGGTTTTTCTATTTGTTTCATTTGCACTTTAGATGGTATATTCTTTTAGTGTTTGATATCATTTTCTACCTTGTATATCTTCAGAAGCTGCAAAGGCAGATGACGCTGAAGATGAGATCGATATAGATGGGTTTCAAAGTGATGATGACGAGGATGGGTCTGATAGAGAAATGGCGGATGATGATGAGGATGGAGATGAAGCTGACAGCCTAAAGCTCCAAAAGTTGGCAGCACAGGTAACAGAATTAAGAGACAAATTGTATCATACCCATCTAAGCATCTTGTTCCTGCTTGTTTTCTGTTCATTGCCTTTATGAAATCAACATCATCTCTACATGGTAGGATCATGGCAGTAATCTTTGATGTTTATTGCAGAGTGCCAGATTCTTTGTTCGGTCGCTCTATTAATTACCATTGGTTATTGAAAATAAAAATCAACTCGAACGTTCCAGACAATGGAATTTCAGGTTAATGCCGGCACCCTAAAGTAGGATTTGGAGGGTAAAAATGTTGCAGCCATGAATCTATGATTGGGGGAGACAGAGTCACTAGTTTGTTCCATTTTGTGAGTTGCTCTCTCTTGTGTGGTTATCTTTTAATTGAGTACACCACAATTTTTTTTTCCCCATTTCAGAGACGAATGAATGCATTTGCTGAAAATAAAGCTCAACAAAGAGGAGAAGTGAAAGGTAAAGTGGAAACATGAAGAGATAAAGCAATAAACTACAATGTAAAGTAATTGATTGATTGGCCCAAGAGATTGCCTATACACTGTTCCTCATCATGATTAACTTCTCTATTTGTATTCTCTTACAAATTCATTTATTTTGTCATAATACTTCGTGATGGGGTTATCGTGCATTGTGCACTTTAACTAGCCTGAAAATTGAAGTATTGTAGGTCTGTTATTGATACCTTCTTGACACAGAGGTTTAATATCTAGACAAGGAGGTTGAACGTTGTTAGTGTAAGAAGTTAGATCGGCCATCATTCAACCAACCATCACATTAGGAAACAGCACTAAACTGTACTGACCAACTACACCAGAGAATCCCTAGCTTGAGGTTGAGAAGGATAGGGGTAAGCAGTTAAATGTTGTGGTTTCTTATCCTGCTTTATAGGTTATTATTTTTCTGTGTTTGTTTTGTTTTGGGCTGGGAAAGAAGGGGCAGTGGGAACAGGTCACTTAAATAGGTGTTTTCTTAAATCATTTGATTGCATATTTGTATATGATAATCTGCTTTATATAATTGATCAGGTTGTATTAAAGGCTAAAGTTGGATTTGGAGGGTAAAAATGTTGCAGCCTATGAAGCTATCTATGGTTGGGGGAGGCAGAGTCAATGGTTTGTTCCATTGTGAGTTGCACTATCGTGTGGTTAATATCTAGACAAGGAGGTTGAACGTTGTTAGTGTAAGAAGTTAGATCGGACATTAGGAAACAGCACTAAACTGTACTGACCAACTACAACAGAGAATCCCTAGCTTGAGGTTGAGAAGGATTGTGGTAAGCAGTTAAATGTTGTGGTTTCTTATCCTGCTTTATAAGTTATTATTTTTCTGTGTTTGTTTTGTTTTGGGCTGGGAAAGAAGGGGCAGTGGGAATATAGGTCACTTAAATAGATGTTTTCTTAAATCCAGTTGATTGCATATTTGTATATGATATTCTGCTTTATATAATTGATCAGGTTGTATTAAAGGCTAAAGTTGGATTTCGAAGGTAAAAATGTTGCGGCCATTATGCTATCTATGGTTGGGGGAGGCAGAGTCACTGGTTTGTTCTATTGTGAGCACCTAACCACAAGGTATCACATTGGCTTTTTAAATGCTTTTGAACATGTTGCTCCACACTCTTCCAATCTAAATAGAATACTCCATTAGCTTATTAGGGATTTCAATTTCATTTATCTAACAATAATTTATCGACTAGAACAAAGTATATCCCATTATCCCTAGCTCGAGGATATTCACATCAAACATTGTTTGGAATAAGGGAAGGTTGAGAAGGATTGGAGTAAGCAGGTAAATTATTCGGTTTCTTAGCTCCCTTTATAAGTTATTATTTTTTCTGTGTTTGTTTTTGTTTTGGACCGGGAAGAAGGGGTAGTGGAATAGGTCACTGAGGTGTTTTGTTCAATCCAATTGATTGTGTATTTGTATTTGATGTTATGCTTTACATACATAATTGATCAGGTTGAAGTGAAGGTTTAAGTGGTAGGTTAAAATACAGAGCTTGAGGAATTACAGAAACAGGTAAATGACCTTCTCTCATTAATTCTCTATGATTATGGTTATTGAAAATAAAAATCAACTTGATCATTCCAGACAATGGAATTTCAGGTTAATGCCGCGGCACCCGAAAGTAGGATTTGGAGGGTAAATATGTTGCGTCCATGAATCTATGATTGGGGGGGAGATAGAGTCACTAGTTTGTTCCATTTTGTGAGTTGCTGTCTCTTGTGTGGTTATCTTTTAACTGAGTACACTGCAATTTTTTTTTCTCCCCATTTCAGAGACGAATGCATGCATTTGCTGAAAATAAAGCTCAACAAAGAGGAAAAGTGAAAGGCAAAGTGGACTCATGAAGAGATAAAGCTATAAACTACAATGTAAAGAAAGAAATTACCCACCTTCTGACTGGTAAAGTAATTTATTGATTGGCCCAAGAGATTGCCTATACACTGTTCCTCATCATGATTAACTTCTCTATTTGTATTCTCTTACAAATTCATTTATTTTGTCATAATACTTCGTGATGGGGTTATAGTGCATTGTGCACTTTAACTAGCCTGAAAATTGAAGTATTGTAGGTCTGTTATTGATCCCTTCTTGACACAGAGGTTTAATATCTAGACAAGGAGGTTGAACGTTGTTAGTGTAAGAAGTTAGATCGGCCATCATTCAACCAACCATCACATTAGGAACCAGCACTAAACTGTACTGACCAACTACAACAGAGAATCCCTAGCTTGAGGTTGAGAAGGATTGGGGTAAGCAGTTAAATGTCGTGGTTTCTTATCCTGCTTTATAAATTATTATTTTTGTGTGTTTGTTTGGTTTTGGGCTGGGAAAGAAGGGGCAGTGGAATAGTTCTCTTAAATAGGTGTTTTCTTAAATCCAGTTGATTGCATATTTGTATATGATGTTCTGCTTTATATAATTGATCAGGTTGTATTAAAGGCTAAATTAGCATTTGGAGGGTAAAAATGATTAGTTTCTTCTATATTTGTATTCTCTTAATACCCCGTGATGGGGTAATAGTGTACCTTTACAGTTTTACTAACCTGAAAATTCAAGTACTGTGTAGGTCTGTTCTCGATCACTCTTTTCACAGAGGTTTATAATCTACATGGAGGTTGAACACTGTTAGTGTAAGAAGTTAGATCTGCCATCAACCATCACACCAGCTACCACCACTTAACAAGGCTGACCTGAGCACCTAAATACAAGGTATCACATCGGCTTTTTAAATGCTTTTGAACATGTTGCTCCGCACTCTTCCAATATAAATTGAATACTCCATTAGCTTATTAGGGATTTCAATTTCATTTATCTAACAATTTATCGACTAGAACAGAGTATATCCCATTATCCCTAGCTCGAGGATATTCACATCAAGCATTGTTTGGAATAAGGGAAGGTTGAGAAGGATTGGAGTAAGCAGGTAAATTTTTCGGTTTCTTATCTCCCTTTATAAGTAATTATTTTTTCTGTGTTTGTTTTCGTTTTGGACCGGGAAGAAGGGGTAGTGGGAATAGGTCACTTAAGAGGTGTTTTGTTCAATCCAATTGATTGTGTATTTGTATATGATGTTATGCTTTACATACATAATTGATCAGGTTGAAGTGAAGGTTTAAGTGGTAGGTAAAAATAGAGAGCTTGAGGAATTACAGAAACAGGTAATCATTAATTCTCTATGATTAATGGTTATTGAAAATAAAAATCAACTTGATCATTCCAGACAATGGAATTTCAGGTTAATGCCGCGGCACCCTAAAGTAGGATTTGGAGGGTAAAAATGTTGCGTCCATGAATCTATGATTGGGGGGGAGATAGAGTCACTAGTTTGTTCCATTTTGTGAGTTGCTGTCTCTTGTGTGGTTATCTTTTAACTGAGTACACTGCAATTTTTTTTTTCTCCCCATTTCAGAGACGAATGCATGCATTTGTTGAAAATAAAGCTATTCACTTACAATTTTTTTTTTTTTTTTTTTTTTTTTTTTTTTGTCATAATACTTCGTGATGGGGTTATAGTGCATTGTGCACTTTAACTAGCCTGAAAATTGAAGTATTGTAGGTCTGTTATCGATCCCTTCTTGACACAGAGGTTTAATATCTAGACAAGGAGGTTGAAGTTGTTAGTGTAAGAAGTTAGATCGGCCATCATTCAACCAACCATCACATTAGGAACCAGCACTAAACTGTACTGACCAACTACAACAGAGAATCCCTAGCAAGGATTGGGGTAAGCAGTTAAATGTCGTGGTTTCTTATCCTGCTTTATAAATTATTATTTTTCTGTGTTTGTTTGGTTTTGGGCTGGGAAAGAAGGGGCAGTGGAATAGTTCACTTAAATAGGTGTTTTCTTAAATCCAGTTGATTGCATATTTGTATATGATGTTCTTCTTTATATAATTGATCAGGTTGTATTAAAGGCTAAAGTTGGATTTGGAGGGTAAAAATGTTGCAGCCATGAGACTATCTATGGTTGGGGGAGGCAGAGTCACTGGTTTGTTCCATTGTGAGTTGCTCTCTCGTGTGGGTTGAGTGAAAGATAAAGTGGACTCACTGAAAGATGAAGCCATAAACTGCAGTGTAAAGAAAGAAATTAGCCACCTTCTGACAGGTAAAATAATTGATTAATTGCCCCAAGAGAATGCCTATTCACTGTTCCTCATCATGATTAGTTTCTTCTATATTTGTATTCTATTAATACTCCGTGATGGGGTTATAGTGCACTTTTACAGTTTTACTAACCTGAAAATTCAAGTCTTGTGTAGGTCTGTTCAGTCTTGTGTTGGTCTGTTCTCGATCTTTTGACAGAGGTTTAATATCTACATGGAGGTTGAACACTGTTAGTGTAAGATGTTACATCTGCCATCAACCATCACACTGGCAACCACCACGTAACAGGGCTGACCTGAGCACCTTACCTCAAGGTATCACATCGGCTTTTTAAATGCTTTTGAACATGTTGCTCCGCACTCTTCCAATATAAATAGAATACTCCATTAGCTTATTAGGGATTTCAATTTCATTTGTCTAACAATTTACCGACTAGAACATAGTATATCCCTAGCTCAAGGATATTCACTTCAAGCATTGTTTGGAATAAGGGAATGTTGAGAAGGATTGGAGTAAGCAGGTAAATTTTTCGGTTTCTTATCTCCCTTTATAAGTTATTATTATTTTTTGTGTTTGTTTTTGTTTTCGTTTTGGACCGGGAAGAAGGGGTAGTGGAATAGGTCTCACTTAAGAGGTGTTTTGTTCAATCCAATTGATTGTGTATTTGTATATGATGTTGTGCTTTACGTACATAATTGATCAGGTTGAAGTGAAGGTATAAGTGGTAGGTAAAAATAGAGAGCTTGAGGAACTACAAACTGATAAGAATATAACAGGTAAATGACCTTCTTTATTAATTCTCTATGATTTATGGTTATTGAAAATAAAAATCAACTTGAACATTCCAAACAATAGAATTTCAGGTTAATCCCGCGGCACCCTAAAGTAGGATTTGGAGGGTAAAAATGTTGCGGCCATGAATCTATGATTGGGGGAGATAGAATCACTAGTTTGTTCCGTTTTGTGAGTTGCTCTCTCTTGTGTGGTTATCTTTTATTTGAGTACACTGCAATTTTTTTCCCCCATTTCAGAGACGAATGAATGCATTTGCTGAAAATAAAGCTCAACAGAGAGGAAAAGTGGTCTCATGAAGGTAAATTTTGTTGATATCTTTACTTTGCATCATAGAGTTTATACCATCAATTTCATACTGAGGTGTTTTTGTTTTAATGCAGATTTGGATGTAATCCGCCCTATACTTCCTCAGTTACTTGATGGTATGTCAGTGATGATCCCAATTCACCTGTTTTCTCTTGGCTAAAAATATTTGATTATCTCCCTCACTTTTCCTCCAAATTTCTCCTTCCAGAGTTCTTCAAACTTATGAATGAAGTTGAGAATGAAGATCTTGTTTCGACCCTCGAGACGATTGTTGACAAGTTTGGCGAGGAGATGGCTCCTTATGCTCTTGGATTATGCCAGAATCTGGTGAGAGATAATTCATAGTGCAGTTTTATGCAATTCAGATCTGCCATTTGTACCCTAATATAGTTGCTGTTATAGGCTGCTGCATTTTGGAAATGTATAAACACCGCGGAAGCTGATGACCCTGGTGCCTTAGCTGCAGTTGGTTGTTTGCGTGCCATAAGCACAATCCTTGAGTCAGTGAGTCGGCTTCCACATCTTTTTGAACAGATTGAGCCAACACTTTTCCCTATCATGCGTAGGATGCTTACGTCTGATGGACAAGGTACAATTTGCTTCCTTGAGCATTTCCTCTCTCTTTTTTCTCTGTCAAAATGTTTGAGCATTTCCTCCCTCTTTGATTTGAATAATAAATTAAAGTCCTGATTTTAGTCAATCTATACTTCTGTAGATGTCTATGAAGAGGTTCTGGAGATTGTTTCGTATATGACATTTTACTCGCCAAAAATATCAATGAACATGTGGAGTCTCTGGCCATTAATGATGGAGGCCCTTGCAGACGGGGCTATTGATTATTTCCCAAGTAAGTTTGTTAAGAGCTCTGCTCTAATTATATTTTGATTAATTGTATTTTTTCTCCTGTTTTTATATTTGATGGTTTGTGGTAACTTTACTAATATTGTCCCAGAGAACTTCACCTCATGCATGCATTTAACATGTATTAAACACTTCATTTTATTTTGCAGACATATTGGTTCCATTGGACAACTATATGTCGAGGAGCACTGAACATGATCTCAACTGTAAGCTAATGCCTCTATTAGAAATGTACCCTTTTCTTTAATCTGCTGACGATTGGCAAGTGAAGTGTATTTCTTTTATGGATTTATTTATTCTTTCTTTTCTTTGCAGATCATGGCTGACAAACACTTAGAAGATAGTGACATTGAGTCTGCGCCTAAGCTCATTGAAGTTCTATTCCAGAACTGCAAAGGACAGGTCGATCACTGGGTTGAGCCATATCTCAGAATCTCAATAGAACGTCTGCATCGAAGTGAAACACCATACTTGAAGTGCCTCCTGATCCAAGTGGTAAGATACTTAAATATTTCTCGGTTTATACATATTCATTTGTTTCCCTTTCCCAGTCTATAAACATGGTTTGTGGCCTTCTTTTCCTGTGAAATAACTTCTAAGTTTGTTTCTTATTGACAGATTGCTGATGCTCTTTACTATAACCCTTCATTTACGCTGAGCATACTGCAAAAGCTTGGTGTTGCTACAGAGATCTTCAATCTCTGGTTCCATATGCTACAACAAACTAAAAAAAGTGGAGCTCGGGCTAATTTCAAAAGGTAGCAATATGTTGGTCTTGTAGTTCTTGTGGAGAGATGTAAAAGGCATAAGAAAAACAAAGTTAAAAAATTGATGGGTTTCTAATTCTTGCCATGTTGGTATTGCAGGGAGCATGAGAAGAAGGTTTGCTGCTTGGGCTTGACATCATTGCTCAGTCTTCCTGCTGATCAAATGCCAGCAGCAGCCTTAGAGGGCATGTTGGTATTGCAGGGAGCATGAGAAGAAGGTTTGCTGCTTGGGCTTGACATCATTGCTCAGTCTTCCTGCTGATCAAATGCCAGCAGCAGCCTTAGAGGGCATTTTTATGGCTATTCTTGATCTCCTTGTTGCATACAAGGATCAACTTGCTGGTAAGTAACCATGTTTTTCCTATACTGGTTTTTCTATTTGTTTCATTTGCACTTTAGATGGTATATTCTTTTAGTATTTGATATCATTTTCTATATCTTCAGAAGCTGCAAAGGCAGATGAAGCTGAAGATGAGATCGAGATAGATGGGTTTCAAAGTGATGATGACGAGGATGGGTCTGATAGAGAAATGGCGGATGATGATGAGGATGGAGATGAAGCTGACAGCCTAAAGCTCCAAAAGTTGGCAGCACAGGTAACAGAATTAAGAGACAAATTGTATCATACCCATCTAAGCATCTTGTTCCTGCTTGTTTTCTGTTCATTGCCTTTATGAAATCAACATCATCTCTACATGGTAGGATCATGGCAGTAATCTTTGATGTTTATTGCAGAGTGCCAGATTCTTTGTTCGGTCGTTCTATTAATTACCATTGGTTATTGAAAATAAAAATCAACTCGAACGTTCCAGACAATGGAATTTCAGGTTAATGCCGGCACCCTAAAGTAGGATTTGGAGGGTAAAAATGTTGCAGCCATGAATCTATGATTGGGGGAGACAGAGTCACTAGTTTGTTCCATTTTGTGAGTTGCTTTCTCTTGTGTGGTTATCTTTCATTTATTTTGTCATAATACTTCGTGATGGGGTTATAGTGCATTGTGCACTTTTATTAACCTGAAAATTCAAGTCACTTCTTGTCACAGTGGTTTAATATCTAGACAAGGAGGTTGAACGTTGTTAGTGTAAGAAGTTAGATCGGCCATCATTCAATCAACCATCACATTAGGAAACAGCACTAAACTGTACTGACCAACTAGACCAGAGAATCCCTAGCTTGAGGTTGAGAAGGATAGGGGTAAGCAGTTAAATGTTGTGGTTTCTTATCCTGCTTTATAGGTTATTATTTTTCTGTGTTTGTTTTGTTTTGGCCTGGGAAAGAAGGGGCAGTGGGAATAGGTCACTTAAATAGGTGTTTTCTTAAATCCATTTGATTGCATATTTGTATATGATAATCTGCTTTATATAATTGATCAGGTTGTATTAAAGGCTAAAGTTGGATTTGGAGGGTAAAAATGTTGCAGCCTATGAAGCTATCTATGGTTGGGGGAGGCAGAGTCAATGGTTTGTTCCATTGTGAGTTGCACTATCGTGTGGTTAATATCTAGACAAGGAGGTTGAACGTTGTTAGTGTAAGAAGTTAGATCGGCCATCATTCAACCAACCATCACATTAGGAAACAGCACTAAACTGTACTGACCAACTACAACAGAGAATCCCTAGCTTGAGGTTGAGAAGGATTGTGGTAAGCAGTTAAATGTTGTGGTTTCTTATCCTGCTTTATAAGTTCTTATTTTTCTGTGTTTGTTTTGTTTTGGGCTAAGAAAGAAGGGGCAGTGGGAATAGGTCACTTAAATAGGTGTTTTCTTAAATCCAGTTGATTGCCTATTTGTATATGATATTCTGCTTTATATAATTGATCTGGTTGTATTAAAGGCTAAAGTAGGATTTCGAAGGTAAAAATGTTGCGGCCATTATGCTATCTATGGTTGGGGGAGGCAGAGTCACTGGTTTGTTCTATTGTGAGCACCTAACCACAAGGTATCACATTGGCTTTTTAAATGCTTTTGAACATGTTTCTCCACACTCTTCCAATCTAAATAGAATACTCCATTAGCTTATTAGGGATTTCAATTTCATTTATCTAACAATAATTTATCGACTAGAACATAGTATATCCCATTATCCCTAGCTCGAGGATATTCACATCAAACATTGTTTGGAATAAGGGAAGGTTGAGAAGGATTGGAGTCAGCAGGTAAATTATTCGGTTTCTTAGCTCCCTTTATAAGTTATTATTTTTTCTGTGTTTGTTTTTGTTTTGGACTGGGAAGAAGGGGTAGTGGAATAGGTCACTTAAGAGGTGTTTTGTTCAATCCAATTGATTGTGTATTTGTATTTGATGTTATGCTTTACATACATAATTGATCAGGTTGAAGTGAAGGTTTAAGTGGTAGGTTAAAATAGAGTTCTTGAGGAATTACAGAAACAGGTAAATGACCTTCTCTCATTAATTCTCTATGATTATGGTTATTGAAAATAAAAATCTACTTGATCATTCCAGACAATGGAGTTTCAGGTTAATGCCGCGGCACCCTAAAGTAGGATTTGGAGGGTAAAAATGTTGTGTCCATGAATCTATGATTGGGGGGAGATAGAGTCACTAGTTTGTTCCATTTTGTGAGTTGCTGTCTCTTGTGTGGTTATCTTTTAACTGAGTACACTGCAATTTTTTTTTCTCCCCATTTCAGAGGCGAATGCATGCATTTGCTGAAAATAAAGCTCAACAAAGAGGAAAAGTGAAAGGCAAAGTGGACTCATGAAGAGATAAAGCTATAAACTACAATGTAAAGAAAGAAATTACCCACCTTCTGACTGGTAAAGTAATTGATTAATTGGCCCAAGGGAATTGCCTATACACTGTTCCTCATCATGATTAACTTCTCTAATTGTATTCTCTTACAAATTTTTTTTTTTTTTGTCATAATACTTCGTGATGGGGGTTATAGTGCATTGTGCACTTTAACTAGCCTGAAAATTGAAGTATTGTAGGTCTGTTATCGATCCTTTCTTGACACAGAGGTTTAATATCTAGACAAGGAGGTTGAACGTTGTTAGTGTAAGAAGTTAGATCGGCCATAATTCAACCAACCATCACATTAGGAACCAGCACTAAACTGTACTGACCAACTACAACAGAGAATCCCTAGCTTGAGGTTGTGAAGGATTGGGGTAAGCAGTTAAATGTCGTGGTTTCTTATCCTGCTTTATAAATTATTATTTTTCTGTGTTTGTTTGGTTTTGGGCTGGGAAAGAAGGGCCAGTGGAATAGGTCACTTAAATAGGTGTTTTCTTAAATCCAGTTGATAGCATATTTGTATATGATGTTCTGCTTTATATAATTGATCAGGTTGTATTAAAGGCTAAAGTAGCATTTGGAGGGTAAAAATGATTAGTTTCTTCTATATTTGTATTCTCTTAATACTCCGTGATGGGGTTATAGTGTACTTTTACAGTTTTACTAACCTGAAAATTCAAGTATTGTGTAGGTCTGTTCTCGATCACTCTTTTCACAGAGGTTTATAATCTACATGGAGGTTGAACACTGTTAGTGTAAGAAGTTAGATCTGCCATCAACCATCACACCAGCTACCACCACTTAACAAGGCTGACCTGAGCACCTAATTACAAGGTATCACATCGGCTTTTTAAATGCTTTTGAACATGTTGCTCCGCACTCTTCCAATATAAATAGAATACTCCATTAGCTTATTAGGGATTTCAATTTCATTTATCTAACAATTTATCGACTAGAACAGATTATATCCCATTATCCCTAGCTCGAGGATATTCACATCAAGCATTGTTTGGAATAAGGGAAGGTTGAGAAGGATTGGAGTAAGCAGGTAAATTTTTCGGTTTCTTATCTCCCTTTATAAGTTATTATTTTTTCTGCGTTTGTTTTCGTTTTGGACCGGGAAGAAGGGGTAGTGGGAATAGGTCACTTAAGAGGTGTTTTGTTCAATCCAATTGATTGTGTATTTGTATATGATGTTATGCTTTACATACATAATTGATCAGGTTGAAGTGAAGGTTTAAGTGGTAGGTAAAAATAGAGAGCTTGAGGAATTACAGAAACAGGTAAATGACCTTCTCTCATTAATTCTCTATGATTAATGGTTATTGAAAATAAAAATCAACTTGATCATTCCAGACAATGGAATTTCAGGTTAATGCCGCGGCACCCTAAAGTAGGATTTGGAGGGTAAAAATGTTGCGTCCATGAATCTATGATTGGGGGGAGATAGAGTCACTAGTTTGTTCCATTTTGTGAGTTGCTGTCTCTTGTGTGGTTATCTTTGTGAGTTGCTGTCTCTTGTGTGGTAGGTAAAAATAGAGAGCTTGAGGAATTACAGAAACAGGTAATCATTAATTCTCTATGATTAATGGTTATTGAAAATAAAAATCAACTTGATCATTCCAGACAATGGAATTTCAGGTTAATGCCGCAGCACCCTAAAGTAGGATTTGGAGGGTAAAAATGTTGCGTCCATGAATCTATGATTGGGGGGAGATAGAGTCACTAGTTTGTTCCATTTTGTGAGTTGCTGTTTCTTGTGTGGTTATCTTTTAATTGAGTACACTGCAATTTTTTTTTCTCCCCATTTCAGATACGAATGCATGCATTTGCTGAAAATAAAGCTCAACAAAGAGGAAAAGTGAAAGGCAAAGTGGACTCATGAAGAGATAAAGCTATAAACTAC